CGCACGAGTTCTAAAAATAGTTTAACTTGTCCATTATGTCTGGTTCGGTGATTGGAAATCGACAGGATTCTGTTGAACAGCGGGTATCATAACAGAGAACAACGAAGACCGTGCCAACAAATGTTTGTACGGTGATTTGACAGTTTAATGTTAAAAGACGCCCAACAGTGCCTGATGCTTGTACCACGTCGCGTTAAACAATTTATTTATTTGTTGTGACGAATTAGTTAGACGTATGTTTTTCACTTTGATAATAAAACTTGAAGTAAGCAGTTATGATGTGTTTTTTCATAAATTTATGAATGCATCTCTTTCGCGTTCGCTCACAAATAATTGTTGCCAGTAGTTAAGTTCTTTTGCATCTGATTTTTTCGTGTAATTCGGTATTTATTTTGCATCGTGATCGTTTTCGATAACATAATTAATCATTTGAGAATATTAAAAAATAATGTCGTCTTAAAAGATCAAAAATATTATTTTTATAAAAGACTACAACTATTATTATAAATAATTAGCACGGTGTGTTCATAAAAAAACAAGATGTCCGAGAGTCCCAAGCACTTCCTAATGCTGTTATCTGATGCGTTTATCTCAATATACCCTTCTTTGCATAAACACGTCCTTTTTTATGGATACTTTATACGATACGGACCATTATCTTTATGAAACCCGAGTCAATCTTATACAATACTAATATGACTAATATTTGTTATATTATAGAGTTAATACTCGAATGTTCTTCAATATTTTAATATTGATACAATTTTATAAACCACTGCACTGACCAGTGGGGTCGGCATTTCACCAACGGCCCTCGTGTCACATTCAATTCAGGTTCTCGGAGAGTCAACTGCTGTGAAATTTACACGGTTTGAACGGGGTAAAACGGGGTAGTCATATCCGTTAATGTAAATGCGGTCGTCACGCGTTGTTATCCGAGCACTTGGTATTTACCCGCTTTTTGCTCTTGCCGCCGATCGTGACCAATCCGTTGCCATATAACGCTACGACACGAAACCGTTGCGGGAAATTTATTGAGTTTTATTTACCATCGGATATAACATTTTTTTTTCCTTTATCCGATGGCATTCATTTGTATACCATCAAAACGCTTAGTCGTATATCATCCACTATACGAAAACATCAGAATTTGATACGTAATATTATTATAATAACATACATTTTATACGATTTTTAAGAACAATAACTTTCCGTAATTGACATCATCTTAGTGGTATTTTCGTCTATTTGAATATTAATCAAAGTTTTGCATCGTTGGAAAAAATAAAACAATAAACACGAAAAATTAACACTGACGAGGTGAATCATGTAGGTGAAACAGTTGTTGTACCGTAACACGCATTTAATATGAACAACTCATGTTATTGATTAGAAACGATCAAGTTTGTACAAAAATATAATTGATATTGACGTCACATAGAAAATTAAAATATTTTAGTGTTATGTTAAGTTTTATATTATTTTGCATAACATGCTCATGAATTGTATTTTTATATAAACAGGAATTATTTACTATCGTGAAATTATGATTTTGTATGCATCGATTTCGTAAATAAAAATGGAAAAATTATTAAAAAACATTCTGCATAGACATTCATTATAATTAACAATGATGCAGGATTTGATTTTTTATTATGTATATTTTATTCAACAACATTTTAGCTCTTTTTTTTTATCTCTGATATGTAAATGACGCGGTTATCTATAGAATGAACGTAGAATCATATTGTAGCAAAAACATGAGAACTTGAAACTATCGACATTTTTAATGATACTTACCTGTGATTAAATGTATATACAACATCATAATAACAACAGTATATTGTAAAATAATAAAAAATAAAATAAAAATTAATACATTTTTAACACTCGTAAGTTAATATATAAACAAATAAATAAATAATTAGTTTATAGAAATAAATAAATGTTAAGCCTGGATTATTATTTTTAATGTACCACGGGTTTCTTTCAGATTAAAAATTCATTATCAGGTACTTGTGGACATAAATATGTTAAGAAATATAAATACAAAGAGTTATAGTTATGTATACTTCGCCTATCAAATATTTTAAGTTTCAGTTAAGTATAAATGTATACCTATTGTCTTTAATTAAAATAAGTCATACCTTATACCTGCATTAGTTTAAAATCCTAATTTATAATAAAAAAAAAAAATGTTTCAATAATCAAAAAAGATAATAAAGAAAGACGAGAAAAAAATAGTTATTTATAAATCAATTTATTAAATCCAACACTATTAATGATATTAAAGTCATTTATTTGAAAGCAAACTCCTGTTGTTACTTATTTAAAATTCATGAATTTTATCTTGCACAGTAAATACACTTAAAATTATTTTGGTTATATCATATACACGATAGACTATTACTTTTCTTCTGTATAACATGTGCAATCCAAGGTATTTTATTATTAATTATTCCTCACAAACACTGCCCGCCACTTCGTACTTAGCACTGTCGGCATGGTATTTCCATCCAAAACCTTTATATGTGTAACGATTTTGATATATACTTAGCTTCAATTTTCATACAGAAAATGTTCTGTTTTTGTCTGATTTACTGCGAAAGTTTAGCCCCTAGAAAGACCGATGCTACGATCTCCCGCCCAGCCTTCCCATTCGAATTGCATTAAATTATTCGCGTTCACGTGCAAAACCTAAATTGTGTAAAGGTTTTATATTCTATTTAGGTACCATGATCTTGTGTATCTATATAAGCGCTATTGGTTTTAAAGAAGTTTGTTTATGACGAAAACTTTTAATGATATGAAATGCGAAACGCAGGATTACGAAAAAAAAAACTGAAACACGATGTACGACAATTTGACTTGTCAATAAAATATTGTCTACCCACCAACGGTCCCGAAAATAAATAATTTATGATTTTTATTGAACTTTTTATTTTTGTATATTTCTTGGTATAAAACTCAATGGACAAAAAAAAAAAAAAAACACCAACTCGAGTTATATTTTAATAATGCATACAGAGTAAAATGACGAGAGAAAAATGTTCATTTCGGAATAAGCCGAATGCACGAATACATAAATTGTACATGCATTTTTTTTTATCATTCCATAAACTTTTCGTAATCATTTTTTAACTCGAAAATTGTTTTACCACTCGCACATAATTTCACGATTGCCTGGGGTGGTTGATTTTTCGCCTCGTGTTCTTCTCGAAAATAATATACCCGCACAGCTCGTAGCTGGAACCGACTCACACGACCCTAACCACGATCTACAAGCAGTAGGAGTAGTGTAAGTAAACTAAATGTGAACATTACCCGCAATACCTCTTTACTTAATATCAGAAAATGTTCATGGAACAACCATGTAATAATCATTTTCATTGCGTAGGACATGATGAATCGAGAATATAAAAATCGCCCATTGACAATCTTGTAAATTAGTTGATATTTGATCGATCGTGGTTATCGACTTGCGAAAAAAAAAGAAAAAGAAAAAACCATATAATTAGTAACGATTTCGATAACCGCGCAATTAAAAATGAATTATTAAATGATACTATTTAAAAACTATTAAAAAAACTATTTAAAAACTATTAATTTTATTTTTGGTATTAAATGACGGGTATCGCATAAATATTAAACAACAAGATCCCGCAATAGGTGCCAAAACAAACAAGAATGTTAGTTCGAAGGATTATTATGCATATCGGTTGGTTAAATCTAATCATCATTAGATGTAATCAGAACAACGTTATTCTATAATTACCTGAGCTTTGTCATCAATTCATGGTCGACATGTATGTAAAGATAGAGAGTAAACGATTACGATACTTGCGATTCAATCAAAAAAAGCTGCTTGCAGAAAATTTTCAAAACAATTTTTAGACATCGGTAATGGGAAAGTTACTACAGAGGAAATGGGATGCATACAATTACCGATCAGTTTCTGCACAATCATTGATTCGCAAGATGTTCTCATTTATCAGATATTTTCCAACGTACACAAACAATGCACAAATCATGAGTGGCTGGTAGAATGAGTACTTTTAGCAGCAAAAAATGTGAACGTCAGCGAGTTAAATCTCAAGATACAAGATTTGTTACCAGGAGACTTGGTGTAATACAAATCTATTAATACAGTTTGAGATGCTACTGATGCTGTAAATTATCCAACAGTTTTTAAATTCATCGGATTTACCAGGTATGCCACCGCATAATTTACAACTGAAGGTTGGATTTCCGATTATTTTTTTTCGTAATTTGAACCCACCACGGTTGTGTAACGGCACGCAATTAGTCGTTAAAAATTTAAAAAAATCGAAGCCATCATTTTAAATGGCAAATTCCGAGGTGAAAATATATTTTTACCGCGAATCCCTATTATACCCACAGATGTGTCAATACAATTTAAACGCCTTCAATTTCCAATTAGATTGGCATTTGCAATGACTATCAATATGTCTCAAGGCCAAACGATGTTTGCCTGTGGTTTAGATTTGAGCCCATATTATTTTTCACACAGACAATAAGACATGGCATGCTCTCGAACCATCCAGTTAGTTTGTGTTGATGAAAGATGGGATGACAAAAAATATTGTACACTCTGTTGCATTAAGGGATCGATATTGTTTTTTACTAATACTGTCATAATTAGCCATATATATAATTTTAAAGGATCAATTTTAATAAATTATTAAAAAAATAAATGTTTGATGGTTTTTCATTTTTATATTTCGTTACAGCATTCCATACCTCTTCCACTTATATACCACATCCTTACACATTTATATTAAATTAGTAATTTTTTTCTAGCAAAATATTCTTTATAAATAATTTATATGACAAAACAACGTTTATTGGGTCAGCTAGTATATATATATAGACATATGTTTATACATAGTGTGTAGGTTAGGTTAACTAATAATTAACTGTACTTATTAAATGTATCTATATACATTTGTTTAATTAATAATATTTGAATATATTTTCAGATGGCAACTACTTTGACAGTTGCTGGAATGTGTTGGGCGACATTATCATTGGCAGCATCGTTTCTTTGCAGTTTTGGATTTTACTTACCATTTTGGATACAGGTATGTATTATTTAGCTAATTGTAAGTTCACAGTGATTGTGTCTAGTCACTAACACTGTTTTATTAGTATTGAATTGTACTGTGTTTTATTAAATAATCACTGAAGAAATTTCTGACGAGTATTTAAAAAATTAATATTTTAATTGATCCGTAAATAAATTAAATTTATCATTACGGTTTTGAAGAACTTATCTATTATACTTTAAGATTTAAAATTTAAAATCGACAATAAGCCATCACTTTCGAAAAACTATTGTGTAATAAGCTCTGCTTATGATTATTATTTTTATTTTTAAAAGAAATTTCCGAAGAAAAATGATCGGCAAAAATGCACCTACTGTTATTGCAATACGATTTCAAATCTATTTTTTCAATTTTTATATTTAATATTTTGTTAAAGAGAAATCGTTACTTTGAAATAAATTACCATAAAATCATTATACTTTATGGTTATAAATACTTATAAAAGTTGTTATTTATAAGATTTCAAATGAGAAAAATACACAAGAAAAAAAACGACCAACGATAAATAATTTAGGATGCTACTCCAATTGACAGTTAATAACTACTTCCAATGCTGTGGTTCAAAGTTTTTAGGGAATTTGAATAATTATGCATAGGGTAAATACAAAAAACATGATTTTGCATTTTTTCATGTTTTCCGCATCCTCTATAGAAATATTTTTGATAAAATCGTACGAGAAAAGTGTTGTTATTATTGTTTTTTTTTTTTTTTTTTAATTTTTACAATTTTACTTACAATACAAATTCTATTGGTGGTTTCACATATTTTCCACAAGTAATGTATCTCTGAAATAAAAATTAAAAACTGTCATCAAATATATATATTAATATAAATTCAACAATAGCTTCCTGATTTAGCTCCTAATTATATAGATAAATATTATATTTTAACCATCATTCAAGATCATTTTTTAACGATATCATAATAACTAATTGAAAAAAGTGTGTTGGTCGTATGTTGCTACTTCGGATAAGCACTATTATCGTTAAGAAGAAGTACAATATTTTGAAAATGAAGATTATGCGGTGCTTATAAACGCATATCGTTTTGCTTAAGACAATATTACTATAATCTACGTTCACATCTAACGAAATGGAAATCCGTAGGACCCGAAGCAGCTATAAATTTAATATAATAACCTGCACAGTTATGTTTTTGTACCTACCAAAAACGTTTTGTTTTTAAAACTAGTATATAATATTATTATGATTTTATTCGTATTATTATACTTTGTATTGTGTGATAGTCAGAAAAAAATATCAGTAATAAATATACAAAACTCGCATTTCTTATACTGCGATGGAATGCTATTAACAATAGTGTTTATTCGAAAAAGAGCCATATTACAGAACGATTCTAAGTAAATAACGAATAATAAATATTAATACTAATACATAAATAATAATATGTTTGGTGAAAAATATTAATTTACTCCGAGTGTGGAGGGTTACATTGAAAATAATCCATTCGTTTTGAATGTCCGACGGGAATATAAATTACTGAATGTTTCAAACACAAATGACAATTTAATGAGAATATTTCTGGATATTAATATATTTTTTTCTTTTCCCACTCTTTTCATGCGTATATAATAATATGTTGTAATTTACAGTATTTTCTTGCATTCCATACCCATGATTTATCTTCTCGGCTTAACTTGTGCCGAACATTATAACTTGAAATGGACTGATGAAAATTCCTCTACGGTTGAAATAAATGCGAGCATACCTTAAAAGCAATGTTCTTCCATTGTCATGCCTTAGAAAATGTGTTGCCAATAAGGGTGTGGAGTTAAATTTGTCAAATTCATCGCATGATATCGTGTAGCATTGAGTATTTATGAAAATACTATTTTGCTGTAGCTTCATAATACAGGTGCGCAGGCAGTATTTCGAATATCAAAACAAACTATCTAACCGGAAACTAAAATTGTGGGATCTTCATGGGGTACTATAATATATAAATGTCTAGTCTTGATTAAATCATGTAATTATTTTTATTTCATACAAAGTATTTGTATTATAAACACTTTTTCCGCAAATAACTAATTGGGTTAATTTTAACCGGAAAATTATGTTACTTATTTATTTCTTACAAAATATTCTGAATAGAATAAATATTCTTACCTGTATGTATAGAACCATACTACAAACACTGATTAATTATTGTGAACAGTTATAATTCTATATAGTATATTATATTAAACTAAATGTACTTATATTTATAAATGTGAATGTATTGTTAACTAAAAATATTTATCGAATTGAAACATACCATTTTTCGATTGCTAATAATTAAGAGTAGATTATAAATTATAGATACATAGGTATATTGTTTGATAAAAATGTTACCGCAATCCAGATGGATCTATATATGATTCACTTTAAATTCGGAATTCTCATAATTATCAAGAAAACATTTGTTCTTGTTTTCATATTAAATATTATCTAATTTATTTTTATGTTCATAACTATAACTATGTTTTTTTTGTAGCCGAGCTTAAAACGTTGTGTCTCCATCGATATTACTTAGTTCTTTTGAAAGCTGAAAAACACCTAATGTACATTATTTGGACACAGTCTCTACGAAACGGGTGTGGAAACTCTTGTTTCGAGTTGAACTACTTTAATCTTCCATTCGTTCATCAGTATACCAAAAAGGAAACTTTGAAAGATACGGGGGATCACTTTTCCTAAACGGCACGTGTAAAGTTTTCACAACAATATTAATCCTATAATAAGGTAATTTATAGGGATGTACGGTTTTAACAGATCCGAATCGATTAGGGTACCTATTGATTTTGCAATGACATGTTCGGCGTATAAATAGTGTTTTCTGACTTTTTCAAACAACTGTAAATTAAAAAAAAAAAAGTCTACGGAAGACGATTGCGCGTAAGTTGCATTCCGTCGGGTTGCTACATGAAACTTACGAATATAACACATTTACTGCCTGAAAAACTATTTTATCAAATGTACATCGTGGGCTATAGTTACTGCGCAACTAGTATAAAGCGTCCACAGCTTAACCGCGGTCTTAAAGTCACATTTTTCTTCATATCAACGAAAATATTTATTATATTTATATTTACGATCGTGTACGCATGCGCAGGGTTTCGGATCGGGTGTAGTGTACAGTTTTACCTCCCAGTATTGCTTTTATCGCCCCCCCCCCCACTCCGACTCTTAAAGTTTGCTAACCGATGAAAAACAACGTTTTAGGCTTACAACACGAATCACGATAATCAATGGTGGTGGCACGAAGATCGTGCAGAAAGTGCAAATGCAAAAGGCCTCACGCCTCTGGTTTGCAGTGTATTCTAGTGCCAGATCCGCTTAGAATCCACTTTTGAGTGGTTTTTTTTTAACACCTGCCTGTGTATTGAAAGTTATGCTTGTGTTTTATTTGATTTTTTCACTAAGTATGGACCCGACAAAAAGCCCAATTCAGTATTCAAAGCCACGCGTAATTTGATTTCGTTAAATTATATAAAATAAAATAAAATAAAATATATCCACAATGAAAAATTTGAAATGCGTATCTTACGTATAATAAATTCCTTAAATACGAATTCAGGGGGAAGATTGCCCTTTCACCCTCCCTAAAATTCGTTCAGGTTGGCATGTGGTCGGTTCAAACGCGTACGGCGGTGATAATCTGTTCCGGGATCGAATCAACGGGAATTCGATGCATATATATATCGGTTGCACGACCGTATTAAAATATGCAATTGTTATTATTTTATGCGAACACTATTTTGGCTGCTAAATACGTTTTACCAAAAAGTTCCACCCGCTAAGTATTTATAATACGTTAACACTCTTATAGTAGTCTATTTCATCGCTAAAAATGTTATCGGTACGACACGAAAACTGGGAATCTGTTGTTTCAGATGTAAATCGTTTCAAGTGTTTATCATTGATACTGTATTCTATATCGTTTCATTTGTTTATTATTTGTCAATGCATAAATATAAATCTTACTCGAAGGCTTTCATTTAAATTCGTTAGAACCATCATTTCAACAGATTATTTCCGGATAAACTTTTTGATCACGCAACTGTTTCTGTTTTTCATAGTTTTTACTTAAAAGTCATAAATATAATACGATAAAGTATGTGATCTGAAAATATTAACTGACAACGAACGATGTCGTGTTGAATTCGAATACAACGAATACATCCATATTGCTATGGATGAGCTTAGATACTTTTTTTATGTGATGGCGCCGCGTTTTATTAAAAATAAGTATTATATATAACAGATGACAATTAACACTTCTGGGTGTTGTGGAATCTGCAAAAAACGTATTCATTTAACAACTAGGTAATACGCGTGCTCGTTGTTACCGACATGGTATATGATAGGTAACGCGAGTTTTATTCCACAATTGACGAAGGGTATGCGCATGGTAAATTGCATTTCCGATGTCATTCCGGCAAAGGAATGCAGGATACACATTTGCAACACACACTTCATAGTACGTAGACGGAACAGTTTTGTATCGATGATCATTGTTGCGATGTTCCAAAAATACGATGCTCTTCGTTTTACGAACATTATATTATTTATTTATATTTATTTTTTGTTGTCCTCGAGTGATTTCAATAAAATTTATTGCGCTATGACTGCGGCAACGAGGGCGTAATAAACAACGTTTCACTTGAATTACCCGCGTGTAAAGCAGACCGTGAGTAATCATTTGGTTTCAAGTAGCAGTTTTCCCTCCTTGTAGCTTTTTTTTTTTATTGGTATTACTATTTTTATAATTATTATTATTATTTATTATATTATTTTATTTGTTTATTTTATTATGATTATAGTAAATTTATTTATTTTTTTTAATGTGCTTACTGTCAAGTTCTTAACCTTTTTATTTTCGTTTGTCGAGTAAACGTAAATAATGATCGGATGTAAAGTTAAGAAACTTAAAAAAAAAAAAAATATTTTTAATTTCAAACAAATTCGTACCTTTA